ACAAAAATAAAAAAAAAAAAAAAATAATAAAAAACACCAGAAAAAAACGCAAAGAAAACGTCAGAAAATAAAATGAGGTAAAAAGAGAGAGATAAAAAAACAACACTGTAGTGCCTACTCCCCTTTAAAACAAAACAAAAAACAGAATAAAAATAAACAAATAAAAAAGGAAAACCAAAAAAAAAATCTATATATATATATACAATACATATATACATTATATACTAAAGTAATATTTTATAAAAACGCGGAAGAAAAGGTAAAAAAAAATCGTGAAGGGAAATGGAAGTCAGAAAATGGAAATTGCAGTTTTTTTGATAGTTATTTTTTTAGCGAGCAATGGGAGGCATTGAGATCTATATATATACATACATATATATATATAACTAAATATACATACACACCTATACATTAGTATATAACACACAGACACACATTTATACAGAAACGTACTTATGGCATGTAAAAAATAAAAACAGAAATTAGTTTTTAAAGGAAGACAGGAAAAACTATTAGAGGAACTCTGCGAAAAAGAATTAGGAATACTACACTCACCCACACACACAAACACACACAACCAAATCAACAAAAACAAAGTAGAAACAACAACAAAGTAGTTTTGCATATCCCAAAAAAAAATACAAAAAATACAAAAAAAAAACAAATTTAAAAGGAAGAGAGAAAAGTTTTAGGCTCGAAAAAAGAAAAGGTAAAGGACTAAAACCCATACACAGACACACACACACACAGTGAGAGAAAAACAACCAATTTATCAAGAAATTAAACTAGTTTTTAGTAATACTATTTTCACAGAACAACAACAAATGTAAACATATTTAATAAAAGCGAAACATTTTTCGACCTAAGCGATTAAGAAATACATTTTTAACCTTCCCGAACCGAATAATTATTTTGCAAAAACTCAAAGAATATACATAAAAAGAAAGTAAAAACTTTTAAACAAAAAGAAAGAAAAATATAATTAATAATTTGCAGTAGTTGTTTTTGTTTTCAAGCGAAATGCTGGTTTTGGATTGAAAATTCAAGCCAGGCATCCAAAATAATTATATAACAAAAAAAATAATATATAAAATACAAGCACACTTGAAAATAAAATATATAAATAAAACAAACAAAGGAAAATACACACAGACACACTCGTACACACTGACAGAAAATGGGTAGCAAAATAATAGTTTTAGTAAACGACGGTTGAGAACATTTTTTAAGTTCCCCCCAATTGAGGCTCATTCATAATTAATTTTTTTACATATACATTCTTAATCAACATTATTATTTTTGTTTGTTTGTACTAGACAACGTTTTTTTTTTTTTTGTAACAATCATACATATATAAATAAATATATTTTCACTTAAGTTAAAAATAGCGGGGTTAACAGATTCCAATTCGAGATTCGAGAAATTCCCATAAAATTGGAAAAATTGGAAACTGTTTTTCCCCCGAAAAGAAAAGCAAAGCAACAACTGCCTAGCGAGAGGGTTAAAATAATAGGCAAGTTAAGGCGGTTGCAAAAGGCAAACTGAAAACACACACGGAAAACGAAAAACCGAGAAAATCCCAAGAAAAGTTTACAAAATAAAATACAAAAAAATAAATAATTAATTAAAGGTAAAGAAACAACAACAATAACCGAATTAAGAGGATGAACAAATAGCTGCAATACGTTATGATTACGTCAATATGTTCCTACAATATAGACATACAAGATACATAAATAATTTATATAAATATATATTCTTAACTAACTGTAAACACACACCACACACACACAACAACAAAAACAAGAACAACAAGAAAAAGCAGAAGCATGAAAGGTTTATACAATAATTAATTTAAAAGCATTCACTAAGAGCAGCAGCAACTAACTAACTAAAGCTAAATCTTAATCCGCAAATCGATTTCAGTTGAAGCCTTGTATCTGTATATCGATACCGATTACCCCTTCGGTTCCGCTTCAGTTTCATTTTCTTCACTAAGCATTTTTAGACTTAAGTTAAGCGGTTCCCCCGAATTATTTATTGAGCGACTCTTAAATTACACTAAAATAATGCAAATTATATAATTACGTATAAAGAACTACTATATATTAAATGCAATTTAAGTTCCAATCGATACAATTTAGTTTCCATTTATCATTTATCATTATTTTTTTTATTATTCAATAAGATTTTTGATATTTTGTGGCTAATAAAAAAAAACATAAAACTTAAAAAAAAACATACGAATGAAAGAACCAACAAAAAGCGAATAAAAAATATTATATGAAAACCATATTTCACTCATGTACATTCCTTATCGTTTCACACACAAACACACATACATGCAGCACCCAAAAGAACTGGAACTAGTTCGCAGACACAACTGTACTTTTATATTGAAGAGAGCTTGACGGGAACTCAACAGAATATATATGGAAAATACCCAAAAAAAAAGAAAGAAAAGAAAACAAAAATATTACTAAAGCAAAGCAAAAAGGAAGGTTAAAAATATACGCTAACTATATATTTTTTTTCGTAGTCGGAATGTGAACTAAAACAACAACAAAAGCACTGAGCAAGAATAAATTACTTACAAGAGAAGTCTCAATACACTCGACTCATTTTTCGAGTCGAACCAATGCTGAATAATGAACCATTTAAACTTACTAAACAAAAACAAAAACAAAAACAAAACAAAAAGAAAAACTCGAAAAGTAAAAAAACTAACGAGCGCAGCTTATCAGGCACCAAAAAAGGCAAAAAATAAAAACATAAATATAAAGAAAACAAAATAATTAAAAACCAGAAAAAAACACACACAAATAGAAGCAATCAAGAAAAATATTTTAGAATGGAAATGAATTCAACTACTTACATGCAGAAAAAATTAAGACATATTTTAGGCAAGACAAAAAACCAAAAAAAACCGAAGGCCACACACATACACTCGACAAAATTTATATGAAAATTATTACAAACCAAAAAAAAAAGAGAAGTATGAGGAAATATTTAAGCAAAGCAAGGCATATCATAGTTTATAACAAAAACAAATAAAAACCAAAACGAAATTGCGGTCAGTCATGCAAAAAAGAAGATTCTGAAAGCTCCCAGGAAATAATACGAAAGCAGAAAGCAAGAGCAGGAACTAAACATCACCAAAAGCAGATTTGATTTCTTTCCACAATCCATATATATCCGAATCCCGAGGACAATGTGAGTAGAAAGAGTAGTAGGGCTAACGAGAGAGAGGGAATCAAGACAGCAAAAGCAAAATGGTAAAAATAATTAAAACCTATAGAGGATCAGAAGCAGCAGCAGGTGGATCAGTCATATATAGCTAGCTATATAGTCTATGCCTAACAACAACAACATTTCTAGTAGTCAGTCGAGCGAAAGAGAAAATTAACAAAAGCGGAAGTGCGCAGGAAAAGCGCATGTAAAACGGAAGTTAAAAATGAACTTGAAGAACTTGTTCACACACACACACACACGACACTCACGAACACACACACACACTCGTACACAAAAAATCCAAGAAGAGTAAAGAATGAAAACAAAGAATGAAGAATGAAAGAAAGAAAGTAGCTGAAGAAGCTGCAAAGAAAAAAATGCAGAAAACAAAACAAAAAAGAGATGAAGAAAATGAAATAAAATTCTATATAAATAAAAATATTGAAAAATATTTCCAACATTTGAAGTTTTTATTAAAACAATATTATATATATATCGTTTAAAGACTATGATAATTAACATGGTCAAATCATGCAAAATTTGTATATTTTTATGTATTTTCACGGATTTTATTTCCCACAATTTAACAATTTTGATTCTATAATTTATATACCCTTGAAAAAGTATAATTTTAGTCAAAAGCTTAAAACGCAGTGAAGCAGGCATTTCCGACCATATAAACCATATAGATTCTTGATCAGTATCAACAGGCAAATGTTTCTAGCCATTTCCTTAAAAAAAAAATTTTTCAAACATGTTCAATTTTTTGAAAAAAAAAAAAAAAAAAGCTAAAAATTTTCAAAAATTTTCATTTTTAAACTGAGTATGCAGATTTGATAAGCTTATAAAAACTAACATAGGAGTGATTTCGGATTTAAAATGAATTCATTTTTGGCTTAGTTATGAGATTTTAAAATTTTGATTTGCCAAAGAAATTCTCATATGAAAATATCGATCGATCCAAAGAATTCAAATATTTTAAGCTTAGTTATGATCGATTTTCGATACGATCCTATAAATCAATTGGTATATAAACTTCGGCTTCCCGAGGATTGTTTCCTTTTGTGTTTTTAGATCAGTTTTAAAAGTATTAAAAAGAAATATATATCTTTCTAAATCTTATCAAGTTCTTAAGTTTTTCTTCTTCATTAACTCCCATTTAGTTCTAAATAATATATCAATTTTAAGAGTAATCAAGCAAAAAAATAAAACAATATATATAAATTATATATAAAACCAAAACCACAACCAAGTAAGTATGTTTATCCATTAATCCCGCCGCTTCTTTCTCTTCTCTCTATCAACTTTTCATTTCGACTTTTCCGTATTTTCGTTTGCCACATCTGCCAGATAGTTTGTCCATATATATACACTCTCTCTCTATATATATAGATGTCTTTTTGTGTGAGCTTTTCGGTGTTTGCTTGCCTAGTATTCAGTTGCGTTGCATGAGTTGAAAACGTAGCCCCGAGCCCCTCCTAGGGATATAAGCTACCCAACCCCACCACCATCACCTTTTTTATAGATAATCTCCAAAAGCAGTGTAGTAACAGACCCCAAAAATCACCCATATATTATTAGAGCCAAGGGATAATATTTTATTTTGAGCTTTAAGACCCGATCTATCTCTGATCCCCGAAAACAGAAACAAAAGATATTCCCGAAAAAAGAAAAAGATAAAAAGAAAGCAGAACATAAAGAGGCACTGTATAGCAACCAATTGTATTGACTCTCGAAGCCCGACTAAGCCCCATTTCTGATCCCCGCAGCTTCTACGGAACTTCAGCTCACCGATGAGCGCCATGGCCGCCAGTCGTTGTCCCACTCCCTTCGCCTTTCCCTTTACGCCCCTCGGCCTGAGCCTCTTCGACATCGATCCGTCCAGAATCCTTAGCCTGCTGCATCATCAGACCTGGCTGGCAGAGGAGGCACTCAGGTGAGTTCGTAACGCAAAAGGAAAAGGAGCCTCAGATAGCTGCATGGCTCTCAGGCTCTCTTTCGGCTTTTCCAGCTGTTAATAATTATCCATAAATAATATGCAAGTGATATTAACTATTCCTCTTCCCCTCAGGACTCGCGGTCTGCTGGCAGCGCCCAAGGACTTTCCCCATCGTTTCACCACGCTCAGCGATCTGCTGACCAAGGATTATCAGCCAGGAGCACCGACAGCCACTGCAACGGCAACGGCAACCACAGCCTCCTCCTCGTCATCCTCCTCTCTGTCCTCTTCCTCAGCCGGCACCTCGAAGGATCCACAGGCACAGTACAAACAGCAGCAGGGAGCAGCAGCAGCGACCTTTAACCTACGCTATCCCACGCCCACGGCTTTTTACCAGCAACAACAGCAGGCCAAGGTGGCCAAATCCTCGCCATCGCCTCAGCAGATGGCCACCAGCACCAGCACGGCCATGTCCAATGATTCCGGCGAGGATAGTTGCAAGCGGAGCTCCGCCGACAGTGATGAGGTGACCATTGTGGAGCTGCCAAGTGAACGGAGTGCCCAACTCTACAAGGAATCACTGGAGCAACTTCTGCAGCGACAACGACGCACACCCATTCTGGGTGGAGGTGTGACCTCCGGTTTAGGAAGCGGCAGTGTCATCGTGGATGCCACCGGATTGAGGCAATACACTCAACTGCTGCTGGCCAGTGCCGGTAATCCGGATGCCTGCAAGGAGAAGAGCTCCTCCTCGTCCACTTCATCCACACCGCCGTTGCTCAGTCAGCAGCAGCTTAGCCAGATGTTGAAGAGTCCCTCCGACACATGCTCCTCGCTGTTTAGTTCTACCGGTGGCGGTGGAGGAGGAGCAGGTGGAGGAGGAACCGGTTCCAATTCTGGCATAATGGCACCCGGCACTAGCACTGGCCCCGGAGCCACCATGGAGACCATTGAGGAGGAGACCCGTTGTGTCGTGTGCAATGCCCACTTTCCGAATGTGTGGCTATTGGAGCAACATGCCGCTTTGCAGCATCCGCATGTGGGTCCCGGCGAGGAGAAACCCTTCATTTGTGAGCAATGCGGTCAGTCCTATCGCTATCGCAGTGCCTATGCCAAGCACAAGGAGCAGAATCATCGGGCTCGTCTCCCAGCGGACAAACTCTTCACCTGCGATGTCTGCGGGATGCAGTTCCGGTATCTGAAGAGCTTCAAGAAGCATCGACTCAACCATGCCCTAGAGCGTTTGCATGGCAAGAAGAGTGTAGGTGTTGGCGTGGGAGTTGGTGTAGGAGTGGGACGCCTGGGCTCCTCCTCTGCCTCCTCTTCCATTTCCATGACAGTGGCCACACCCACTTCAGTCTCGGCTGCGGGTTCGGTGACATCGGTGGACCAAGATGTGGTTACCAGCTCCCAGGAACCGATGCTGGCCGACGAGGGTGAAGATTTGCGGGTCAATGTCAAGCGGGAGGAGCAGTCGGAACAGCACTCGGGCAGCGGTGGAGCAGATGGCGAGGAGCATGAGCAGGATAACACCGTGGACTCGGCGGGCATTACAATGCTCTATCAGGACAACAACTCATCGGCTTCGGCCTCCACCAGCGCCACCGAACCAAACATAAGCAGCTCCGATGGCATTCATAGTACAAACAAGAGGGTGAGATTTTATATTGGATTATCTCGATTAAATCAGTATTTTGAATATGATATAAATATAATCTCTTTTGCCTTGCAGTCGCGCATGCACCACTTGGAAACGGATCCCTCCTATTCGCATCAGCAGTCGCACCACCATCACCACCACCACCATCATCACCAGCAGCAGCAGCAACAGCAGCAGCAACAGCATCATCATCACCACCAGCAGCAGCAGCAGCAGCCGCATCATCCGTCGCACCACCTGGGCCATGTCTCACTGCCACTGGTGGCCACCTCGGCCGCTGGCTCTTCATCCTCGGCGGCGGCTGCTGCTGCCGTGGCCGCAGCCACTGCCGGTAGTTCTGGCGGCAATGCCGGAGCCGGAAGTTCCTCGGCAACCGGAAGTGCCGGCTCCAGTTCGGCAGGCAATGGAGGAAGCGGTGGAATCAGTTCCCTCAGCTCCCTAACCTCACTGATCAACGCCGAACGGATACCGAATGAGCAGTTTTTGGGTCTCAATCCGCAGGAGGCCTCCATACTCAACTTTTTGCGCGTGGATGCTGCCGAGCGTCAGAGGGATAAGAGGTGAGTATGACTCTTGAAGATCAGGAAACCCTATACTATATATATATTTGTCTCCTTTTATAGGCCTGCCACCTCACGCTTTGCCTGCCCCTTCTGCGGCAAGTGTGTGCGCTCCAAGGAGAACCTCAAGTTGCATGTTCGAAAGCATACCGGCGAGAGGCCCTTTGTGTGCCTCTTCTGCGGTCGGGCCTTTGGTGGGAAATCGGATCTCACACGACATTTGAGGATTCATACCGGCGAGAGGCCGTATCATTGCGAGTCCTGCGGCAAATGCTTTGCACGGGCGGATTATCTGTCCAAGCACCTCACCACCCACATCCATAACGCGCCGCGCTGAGATGAGGCGCGTAGGAGGCGGCTCCTACGCAGATAAGGAACCAGCTTTAGGACCACCTCCAGCCTCCAGAAACACACACAGAAACACACACTCAGACTACAGGAAGTGCATATAGAAAGTTATGTATAAATCTTATTACAGAAAAGGGAAGAGGGAACTCCTCATAGTCGGGGTTTTTTCTATATTTTTTTGCATCTTTTTTTTATATATATGTAATTTTTTTTTAACTTTTTTTTGGTGCAAGCTAGAGAAAAACAGAAAAAATAATGAGATGACAGGCAACTAATTAGCACGGGTATTAAAGTGTTTAAGATTTTTGAAAATACACCTAACTCTCTCTAAATATAATTATGTGTGTGTAAGGATTTGCAAATTATAATTACAAATTACAATTAACGTAGCACAAAAATTATATACATCTCTATATATATACATTTTTTTTTCTACAAGTATGTTTAAGTGGGGATTTTTAGAACGAAATGCGATTTTGGTTCTTTGAGACAAAAAACAAACAGAAACACGAAAACAAAGCAGCCACAAAGCAAAATGCAATAAACAAAATAGTCTGTATTTTCTACCGAAACAAGCGAAAAGCGATATATATATATATAATATCGAAAATCTGCCGTTGATATATACACACACAATAGATAAAATATATTTAATTTTACACCGATCTATAGACGCTAAACTAGCAACAATTTGTACAAAACCGAGACATGATTGAACGCAACTCAACTGCAACTTTGCACAGAATCAATGCAATAACTGAGCTAACTCTGTTACCTACCACAGAAGACGAAGAAATCAAACAATAAAACTAATTGGGATTTTAGTTAATTGTTTATAAGCCAACTAAAACTAAATCTTAACTAAATGCTAAATGTAAAACGTGAAAACAACGCCGATTCGTGCTAGCTGCAAGCATTATTTATTCTCAGAATTTTCCGTTCAGGACGAGAGAGAGTCGATAGGATTATAATTGTGTAAAAACAAACAAAAACAAAAAACAAAAATAGGATCTACCTACCACCGTCAATAGTTTAATTTATATACGAAAGCAAAGCAAATCAAAACATAGCAACAATTAACAATTACAATTAACAATAGCAATTACAACTACAGCAAACAGTAACTGCAACTACAACAACACAAAACTAACTGTGATCATAGCAACAACAAAACAACATAGAAGTTTTAATTGAAAACTGATAGAAAAAACCAACAAACAAAACAAGCTAAACAGGCATAAAAAATAGTTAATAGCAAGAAACCCTGATGGCAACCCTGGCAGTAAAAGCAGCAATAGAGAATTTCGGACTCTGGCCACACTAAGTGGCCACCGTCCGCCCGGTAACGAAATGTGCAATTAAACAATAAAATAGATAAAAGCATATATGATTTCCCCTAATCGATTTCTATATATGCTTTATATTCAGTTACATAAAAACACACAAAGACAGGCAGAAGAAAGGAGCAAAAAGAAACAAAACAAAAAACGTTGAACCAAGAACATCGAATTAAAGTGTAAAATGTAAAATGCAGAAATCTTACTTTCTATTTTTTTTTTTTTTTTATTAATTAATTAGGGATGATAAATATTTGCCGTACCAAAAAAAAACAAATTGTGGAAAATGAAGAGAAAAATAACGAGAACAAATCAAAGTAAAGTGGTAGAAGTAAAGTAAATGAAAACTTTCACTGTGCCAAAAAGTTTCAAGTACCTCATAATTTAACTAAATATTAAAGTGAAACGGAAAGCTAACTTATATAACCGATAACTAATAACAGATAACACCGATAAACAGCCCACACAGAATCCACCACCACAACCACCACATGCAGTCCACAGAAGATCCACAGAACCCCCACAAATATATATATATATAAAAATATATATATATTTATATATTTCCCCGTAACGAAATGAGTCTAGACAGAACACTGTCACAGCGTATGATAAACATATAGAAGCTGAAAGCTGAAAGCGAAGCGTTAACTAATCCTAATTTTTACCAATCGGAGAGGGCTAGAAAATAGTTAGATAGTTAGATACCGATAGAGATAGAGCGATAGGGAGATATGGAGATGGAGAAATAGAAAGAGATAGAGAGAGAGAGAGAGAGAGGCGAGAAGGCGAAGAGAATGGGAGAGAATCTACCATCCAGACAGGGTTCTTGGGGCCCATCTATCATCATTCGATTATTTAATGATTATTCTTCGATTATTTGTGTAATTTATTTATTCTCCAGCAAACACAGTTCTGCCCAAAAAAAAAGAAAACTTTCTCTCACAACTTAAGTGTTCAATTGTAGCGAATATATATATACTTACATATATATATACATATATATTTATCTAGGAATATATGTATGTGTTATGTGATAGATTAACAAATTTACCGCACCGTTTGAATTATGCTTTTTGCCTAAACTACTTTAACTACATCTATTTTAATATATTTTATATACAAATATATATATATCTATATATATATTTGATGTAAAGATTAATTATAAAGAAAAGACAACAACCATTTGATTTATAATTTTCGATTCTGTGTCAGTATATGTGAACCGTCAAAGATCAGGGCCTCCTAGCGAAATGTTATAGTTTTTAGTTTATTAATTGTTAACAATTGTCCTCAATTTTGTTTTCTTTTCTTATGGTTTTTTCCTCTCTTTTTTGTATTTATTTTGAACAACATGCAACACTGCAAACAAATATCAACACTGCCTTTTGTAAAACACAAAACATATAAAGCTAAAAATTTTTAAAAATACGTTTATCCTATTTTAAGTTACTCTCTTTTTTACGACGATTTATATCTTTGTAATTCTAAATTTAATGTATTTATAAACATCACACATGCCGTTTAAATTTTATTTTTGAATTTTTTCCAAGCTCTAAACTAAAAGAAGTAAAAAAGAACAAGAACAAGCTGTGAGCTGTGTATGTGAATTAATTATTTGTACGATTATTATTATTATTATAATTATTACAGTTAATAATTAATACTATCATTTTTTTGGCCACACTTATTATTTTTGGAATTATTATTTAATAGTATTTATTAATAAAGTTTTTTTGCCACAAACTCTTATTATTTTCATGACCAAACCTGGGCACACATCCGTCGATCCGAAACCATCCGTCGATTTTCACAAAAAAAAAGTAAGCAACTCATTCATTATTACACCCATTTTTTCCTTTAGTTCATAGTTGAAAATGCGCCTTAAAAGAATTTTAGGAAACTAAGTGGTAAGACATGAGGAGAAAAGCGGAAAATAGAAAAACAGAAAACGGAAAAATTTAACTCTAGAAACTCCATTTCGGTAAGATACGACACAAGTTTAATGTTATTAAGGAACCCCCAAAAAAAGGAAAGCAATATTACGAAATTAATGAGAAAACCAAAAAAACAAAGCCCTAAAATTAATGTAATTTTTTCTTAGGTGTGTGTGCAAGTAAATGTTGATAAAAAAAAAACAAAAACAGTAATTAACGACAAAATAATCACCATCAAAATTAAGGCGAAATAAGGTTAAGGGGACACTGTACTTTTTTCTTGTATTTTTTTCGTGAATGTGCTGAGCGAGGAAAATTGATTTTAAGCCAAAAAGAAAAATTATTGGAGGGATTCAAGACTCTTATTTCGCATATACATGCATATACATACATATATATATATGTATATATCTATATATATATATATATATATATATTACAAATTTACCAAGTAGGGCAGTTTTTTTAAGGCATTGTCAACAAATGCAGGAAAATACGTGTAACCGAAAATTACATTACAAAATCCAACAACGAAAAACTTTTGGCATTACAAATCGAATGCATTTTTAAATACAATATTTATTGATATACCTAGAGTTAGAGCCCAACAACAAGAGAGCAAGAGTGCGAGTTAAGCAAAGCGACGAGTAGCGAGTTAGGAGTAACGAGTGGCGAGAAACGAGAAACGAGAAACGAGAGGCGTGGCAAGGCTAAAAACAAAATGGAACCCAAATATTATATCTATATACAGATACATAAATGTACATGTGGTTTTCGGTGTCTATTACTTATATAAATAGATATATATACATTATATACATACATCATATTATATACACGACGTGCAAATATTTTGAAACCAAACAAAAAGAAAAACGAATCCACAAAAACCCAACAAAATAATTATAAATGTTGTTCATTTGACTAATAAATGGAAGCAACTCAACCCAAAATGGAAAATGATAAACTAGCATATATAAATATATATATATAATATATATATATAAAAGAACAACAACAAACTAATGGTATTCCACTCCCACACGTACATACATACACACACCACCAGAGAGGGACACTCAATGTCCTCCCAAAAAGTGGCATTCCCCTAATTAAAACTATTAATAAATATGTTTAAAATATATTTTAAAAACTTGAAACAACTTAATTTTCTACCTTTTCACTTTCTTAAGTTGCTTATTTTCTTACTATTAAATATTATTAGTCACTGTCCGGGAGTAAGAGTGTCCCTGAATCATTTAGCAAATACATGAGAGTTTTAAAAACCCAACAAAAAAATATAATACAATTAACAAAAATAAAACTACGATTTCATGAAATTAAGACAATTTCGAGGTTTCACTTGCAAAAAAAAAAAAGCAAAACGAGAACGAAAACAAAATCTAAATAGAAACATAAACGATATAAAAATGATCTATATAATGTAGTCCAAATCATTTAAGTCAATCGGATTAGGTTGCCCAATTGATTTTGTGTTTGGTTAAGGAACAATTTTAACTTGTCTAAAATCAAAATAAATTGTTAACAGCAACTAACTCATGTATGTAAATACATTAAAATGGAAACCATCTCAAAAACAACACAAAAAATATACAAAAAAGTCAAAAAAGTCAAAAAAGAAGTAAAAAACATAGCAAAGAAAACAAATATGAAGCAGAAGCATAATAAACATAAAATGTAGTACATGCAATATATTTTTCGGTGTTAGGCGTCTTTTTGAGATTTTTACAGAATACCAAAAAACAAGAGAAGTCCCTCAAACAAACAAAAACAAAATCTATAAAGTCAAATATTTCATTGTTGATGTTGTGAGCAAACTAACGTAAAAGTAAACTAAAAAACTTACAAACTATAAAACCAAAAAACAAAGTAACATATATTGTATTTGTTTCTCCTACTCTCTCAAAGTCTCTT